CCTGCAGGTGCCGCTGGGGCTGGCAGTTATCTTCCTGGTGTGGGGGTGCCTCCTGCCTAACTGACCTTGGGACATCAGGGTGTCAGAGTGAGCCTCCCCTCCAGGGAGCGGGGCTTCCACAGTCTGGCTGGGAGCGAAGTTTACCTACGCGGGGATCTGGGGGTTATCAGGGTGAGCATAGGCCTCCTGCTCTGGACTGCAGGATGCACAGGACTCTGCCAGCTAGGGCCCTTGCCAGTAGGGTCCCTGGGAGCACCCCAGGATGAGGCAGGCGGTGGGCTCTGAGCACAGGCATCCAGCTCACTGAGCTGCCCAGGCCCACCCACGTGGGGTCGCTTGGGCCCTGGTTACCGCTGGCCCACCTGAGCAAATGCCCTGGGGCAGGGAGGGGCCGGGCCCACAGCTGGCCTGGCCTCATGCTGCCCTCCCCCTCGGCAGCCATCCGGGTGACCTGCACGGGCTCCTGCGGGGTGTCCAGCAAGGCCAATGATGCGGCATGGGTGGTGGAGGAGGGCTACTTCAACAGCTCTCTGTCGCTGGCTGACAAGGGTGAGTGTGGGAGCCGCTCATCTCCTGGGCAGGGCTCCTGTGGGTCTTCCCCTGCAGGCACCGTGGGTTTGCTGCACAGGCTGGTGGCCGAAGGGCCCCATTTATGTCGGGTTGGGCTGGGCTCTGCCTCCCACCCCAGCACTCTTCTGTCAGGCTGCTGGCGTGCTGGAGGGCCAGCTGCCAGGGGTAGGGCGAGCAGGCTGGCTGCGGTGCCCACTCCTTGCCAGGGCCTCCTGAAGCCTGCTGCCACCACCCCTCCTGTCTCTGCAGGGAGCCTACCCACTGGAGACCACAGCTTCCCCTTCCAGTTCCTGCTTCCTGGTGAGAGCCTGGCCTGGGCAGGCCTGGTGGTGACCAGCTGGGCCTGGGAGGGTGGGCCTCACGGTGGAGGCGGCCAGTGCCAGTCCCTGCTCTCTCCCAAGCCACAGCACCCACCTCCTTTGAGGGTCCCTTTGGGAAGATCGTGCACCAGGTGAGGGCTAGCATCGACACGCCACGGTTCTCCAAGGACCACAAGTGTGGCTGCGTGTTCTACATCCTGAACCCCCTGAACTTGAACAGCATCCCGGACATCGAGGTGAGGAGGTCCCCTCGGGACAGGAGAGCGGGACGGGCACAGCTGGCCCCTCGCCCAGCCGAGGCGAGGTGGCCAGGATCTGCAGCAGCCTGTCTGTCCGAGGTGGCTGTGCTGGGGCAGGGTGGGGGCAGCCTCTTACACCACGGGGCCCAGCTTGTGCTCGTCCACTAACTGCCCTGCTTTCCCCGAGCACCCCAACGTGGTCTCCACCACCAGGAAGTTCTCCTACAAGTTGGTGAAGACGGGCAGCGTGGTCCTCACAGCTAGCACGGACCTCCGTGGCTATGTGGTGGGCCAGGTGCTACGGCTGCAGGCAGACATCGAGAACCAGTCGGGCAAGGATACCAGCCCCGTGGTGGCCAGCCTGCTGCAGGTCAGCACCCTGCCCCACTGTGCGGGGCTGTGGCGGGGGGGCCGCCGGTGCCCACTCACAGGCTGGCTTCCACACAGAAGGTGTCCTACAAGGCCAGGCGCTGGATCCACGACGTGCGGACCATTGCGGAGCTGGAGGGGGCCGTGGTCAAGGCCTGGAGGCGGGGGGAGTGGAGCAGATCCTGGTGCCAGCCCTGCCCCAGTCCGCCCTGCCGGGCTGCAGCCTGATCCATATTGACTACTACCTGCAGGTGCCGTGCTGTACCAAGGGCTGGGTGGCCTGGTGGCCGTGACCAGGTCCTTCACCTCTGGCCTGACCCTCCTTAGGTCTCCCTGAAGGTACCTGAAGCCACCGTGACCCTCCCAGTCTTCATTGGCAACATCGCCGTGAACCAGGCCCCACTGAGCCCCCAACCAGGCCTGGGGCTGTCTCCCAGGACCCTGTCCACGGTGGTGCCCTCTGCACCACCCCAGGAGGAGGCTGAGGCAGGGGCCGGGGGCTCCCACCGCTTGGACACAGTCTCCCTCTCCACCAAAAGCCACTCACAGCAGCTGCGGCCCTCCATGGGCTCCGCACCTGGTGCTCCTGAGCGCCCCCTGCAGGATGGCTGCCCTGCCCTCCCGCCTCTGTGTGTCTCCACTGGTGCCACTGTCCCCTACTTTGCAGAGGGCGCTGGGGAGCCTGCACCCACCACCAGCACCTGGATCCTTCCCCCAGAATACAGCTCTTGGGGCTACCCCTATGGTGAGCAGAGGGGCCGGAACTGGTGGGGAGGGTCCCGCGGACCTTGTGCAGACCTAGCTCTCTCCCCACAGAGGCCCCGCCGTCCTATGAGCAGAGCTGCTGTGGTGCTGACCCTGGCCTGAACCCAGGGAGCTGACCTTCAGGAGCCGACCCATGATGCCTTCTAGGCGGGCCTGGCCCCTGCCCTGGGACTGGGTGCCCAGGGCCTTGTGCCTTCACTCCTGGCCGGGCCCAGCCCACTCAGGACCAGCCTCTTCCAGCTTCACTGGGGCTGGGGTGGGGCTGGCGAAGACCTGGGACCTGGAGAGACTGCTCTGTAAATAAAGCGCTTTGTTTGTATAGTGGTGGACAGGCTGGCCTCTCTAAGCCTCTGGCCCAATTCTGCCAGGTGTGTGCTGAGGGTCTTGGCTAGTCCTTGCCAGGACTTAGGTCTGGAGGTGCGCACAGTGGCCCCGGGTGGGTGGAGCTGGCACTTGGCCTTGTGCTCTGCTGCAGGCATACCCTGACAGCCTGACCGCCAGGAGCCCCGACTTTGGGAGGTATTTGGGACTTGGGGTGGCACAGTTGGAACCGTCTGCCCCAGAGGAAACTGCTGGGTTGGCTGCCTGGCTTGACAGGTGCTGCTCCTGGCTCCCCACCCACGCTCTGCTTATGGGCCTGTCATCTGGGGCCCGAGAGCAACATGGAAAGCCAGTGTGCAGTGGAGGGTCTCAGAGCCCGGCTGCCGTCATCAGCATGTTCAGGGAGGTTCAGGTTCAGATCCCCACTCTGCCATAGGGTGAAGGGGAGCCTGGCTCAGTGCTTCAGTGTCGTCCACACAAGCAGCTCGTGAAACGGGCCAGGGCAAGTGCCCCTCAGCAGTAGCACGGCGGTCTGCCTCTGTACAGTCCAGATGTGGCAGACACAGGCCTGGTGGCACGGCCGTCACTCTCAGGCTGTGGCTCCCACCCCTGGGCACAGAGGGCCTTCCCAGTCGCCACTGGCCAGCCCCCCGGCCAAG